ATACTCCTCCAGATCGTTTTTAAAATAGAATCAAGTGCATGAAAATGATTTTAATAACATTTGCGAATGCTTTTTTAATTACTCTTCTTTTAGGTGATATGTTTTTCTACATATTACATCCATATGATGATTTTGTTAAGTAGACTGAGACTTAAATGCATTATGTTTGGTTGAAAAGTTATCAAAATTCACAATTACATGGTAAATAGGAGTTTGATTTTCCTATTTGATCAAGCTAAAATGAACTCGGGAATGAGTTCACAGTTCAGATGTGCCCTTAGCATTAAATGTTTTAAGGTATTTTCTAACTAAACATTTAATTTCGAGTTTTTATTAAAAGGATTCGTTTTTCTAAAAGGCTGAAGGAAAGCCTGAAATGGTTAGATTCGCAATAACAAGGCTTTTTCAAGTGAACATAAGAAGACATAATATTGCATCAAATAAAATCTTTATGACGGGTTTCAGTGACAAAAAAGAGTATCATACACAACTACGCACACCTGCACCCCTCTGTAGCAAATGAGGAGCTACAAATTGAATTCTTATTGACGTTTATCAGAAGAACTGAATTATATTGATCTGGAGAAAACATCGTAGATACATATCCAGAAAGCCTATCGATGGTTGTAGTCCCTTAGTGAAGAACATCCAATTAAAGAGTATAAATAGGTGGAAACACCTTGTCACATCTTCTTCAAGATAACGTAACGATAAACCTATTTGTTGAACGGTCAACGAATGGTTCGGACCAGATCCATGAACTGTTAGTGGATGATGACAAAGAACGTCGCCTGGTTCCATCTCCCATGATAGAAGACTTGGATCGTGGCTAAAATCTGGACATGCCACATGGCTAGGATCCACAAATTTTTCATCCTCATCTGGTGTTATTGCTTGGTAGAGAGTTTTATTCAAATGTGTTCCGCGCACATATACGACGCCACTTGATTCTCGCGTCACCGGTGTTAGTGCACACTATATCGATATTAAATCGTTGCCACGAAATGGCCAATAGGATAAATCGTTATGCCATGCAGTTCGAGCTTGTGTTCCAGGTGCTTTGATAAACAATTGATCGTAGAAAAATCGCACCATTTTCAAATTGTTCATCAGTTGAGCAGCGATACTTGGCAACTGTGAATTTTTAGCAAATTTTTCAAACGCAGGAATTGTGTCCGCCATCAAAGCAGCACTGAAAAAGCGTTTGTCATCTTTGCCATAACGAATACGGCCTTTATTTGCTTTCACAAATTCCACAGATGCTTGAAACATTTCAGCACATTGAACGGGTGATAAAACACCACGTAAACAAACGACACCATCAACTTTATAGGCTTGAATTTCCTTCGGTGATACGATAAAATTTTTAACTTCATCACTCACTCTTGCTGACGATAATCTTCGCTGCACAATCGATAACCGTAATAGGCTAGGGAAAATATGGCTCTTTTTCATTATATAAAATGCACAACAATAATATGCAGAACAAAGACGACATTCGGTGTTGAATAAATATCATCAAGATAAAAGCATATCATTTGCCAGGTTAAGAAGGACAAAATCTGAATCTTTTAGTGAGTAGGACTCTCACAGAGGCTCTTATAAATTATTTTATTTTTATGTGTACGATGCGACGCGATGTTTAATTGGCTATATTCTCTCCTAATGCATGTATTTTTTTTTGCACACATATCCTTATAATAAATAAAAGTTGAGGTATCAATGAAGATTCATATTTTGTCGATAATAAAGGCAACTAGA